GGACATTAACTGTGTCCTTAGACTAATAAGAAGGGCATTTGAAAGAGAAGGAATTAAATTCAACTGTTGAAAAATAGCTCATTAATTGTGCTCTTTTTAATTTATGTCGAGTTATTTTCATTCTCTCTTAACTGCCCTCTGTACACTTGAAAATGGCTCTACTTCAAAAAGTCAATCTTGGTTTTTAGCCTGTTTCAAATTTGACTAGAACTCAGGACCTATGTTTTTTGTTTATGATTTCATGACTTACCACTAGGTTTTTCAAAAAAAATTGCCTCTTTTAAATTTTTTCTGAGAAGATTTTTACTACTTCTGTAATGAAAAAATGGATGACCACACATCGCACCTTGAAAAAAACGACAACTCCTGATTTTCTACACAATTTCTATTTTTATCCTGTATGCGTGCTGTACTTTTTGTAGCAAGACAAGCCTTAAACTTTTTGTCGAGCAACTTCAAAATTTGAGCATTGATTACGCTAGGCCCAACTTATAAGTCGTTCTGATATAACCGTCACTTTTTTCTACCAAAGTTTTGTTTTAAGAGGCATTAAAAGTCAAATTCTTTCCAATATACACACCTCAAAAAAGACAACCAAGAACTGCCAAAATTATCGGAAATTACTTTGCGTTTTAGAAAAATTGAGAAGAGGTCAAAATTTTCAACAAGTCAACATAGGTTAAAAGAAATCGAACTCATTGAAAAAAAAATTGCGACCGTCGTGTGTAACCATCAAAATCTTAGAATTGGACATAGAATTTCATATTCGCGGTGCTTTTTTTAACCCTCTGAAATTATAGTTAACGTTAGAACAGCTTGTGAACATAGCGTGAGTTTGGATAATTGCACACACACATACACACAAATATATAAATATGTTTGTATGTGTATGTGCGTGACTATCAAAACTTACGCTATGTTTAAAGCTCTTCTAAAGTAATTATAGTTTCAGAGGGTTAAAAAAAAGCACCGTGAATTTGAAACACCAGGTCCAATTCTAAGATTTTGATGGTAACACACAATGGTCGGATATTGTGTTTTTTTTTGTTGACCTGTTGAAAGTATTGGCTTCTGTTCAATCTTTGTAAAACGCAAAGTAATTTCCCAAAAAATTTGTAGTTTTTGGTTGTCTTTTATGAGGTATGTATGTTGGAAGAAATTTCACTTGGAAGGCCACACAAAAAACCAAAATGATGGATAGAAAAAAAAGTAACGGTTTCTTCAGAATAGCTAATAAATTGGGCCTAGCGTAATCAGTGCTCAAATATTGATGTTTCTCATCAAAAATATTTTACTGCTTGAATTGCTACAAAGAGCACAGAGCGCACATAAGATAAAATTAGAAATAGTGTAGAAAATCAGAAATTGTGGTGTGTTCAAGGTGCGATTTGTGCTCAACGATATTTTCAATTCGAAAGTGAGAAAAAGATTCTCAGAAAAAGAATTTAAAAGAGTGATTTTTTTTTCTAAAAAAAACTGGTGTTAAGTCGGAAATTGTTCTGCAATATAAACAAAAAAAACATAGGTCTAGCGAAATATAGAACAAGCTAAATACTAAGATTGATTTTTGAAGCGGAACTGTTTGAAAGTCTATAGATGGCAATTAAAAGAGAATGAAAATAACTCGATAAAGTTTAAAACGAGTCCAATTAATTGTTTCTTTTTTTAACTGTGTTAAGTTTTTTTCATTATATTTCAAATGCCCTCCCTATTAGGCTAAAGGGCACGATGCTAGAATAAGATGTTTTCACGAGATGGAATGGGACCTAACATTGTTTCATTTACTCGATTAACTATACTGGGCAATAGTGAAAATGCAACAGCAAAAATTCGATGAGACAAAAAAAATTTCAAATTTAACTTTTTGAAAAAATGCAAAAAACATATGCTTGCTCTGATAGATAGCAACAAGTTTTGACGACTTGCCTGAAAACTAAGTCTAAAAGTTTTTTTAGGGCGAAAATATTATAAAATATGTCCTAAGTTATACCGGATTCATTTCATGAACTAACTTTAGTAACCTAAATCTTACAAAATTTGAGAAAATCTTTGCCCTTTCACGTCAAAAAACTTTAACAAAACTGAATGATAAGCAAAAAAAATTTCCTTTTTTCTTTGAAACAAAACTGGAGTATCCTGGTTTGTTTCGTGCATAACTTTCCCAGTCTTACAATAAAACTCAAATTAGAAGCTAAAATGTGATCAAGTTTAGTTTAAAAGATTTCAGTTTCTTTATCCATGTCTTTTTGAGGGAAAGTTAGCAAAATACTTGATGATGCGTTTTTAATGTTTTGCAGTATATAGTCAAACTTGTTTTTCTAATACTTTGAAGTTTTTCAAGCTGCTATAATTTATATGTCTTGTGGAAACATTCGGCGTAGTTTAGCTTCAGTTGAATTTCACACCCCAGTCGAGATTTTTAAACAATTATCAAACCAGGTTATGATGAGTTCAACTGCTACATAAAGCTCCTGTTTAAGTCTTAAGGTCTGATAGTTTTTCGGCGTTTTTCCTGAGTGGAACTAATTTCCAATCTCGGACGCATCCCATCCTCTGTGCACATTTGAGGTATATATTACCGTCTGGGTTATCATAATCGAGTTGAATAATGGCCACGACTTTTTCAAGATATCAATGAAGCTGCATGCATACTTGTAAAACCATTCTGTAGCTGAACTGTTTTCAGGTACCGGTAATCGAAGAGGGGTCCAAGCCACAGAAAAAGACTAAAGTCTCGGAGAAACTACGTCAAATTTCGAATCATTGCAGTAGACTAAAACAGATGGTGTTGGCCATTCTAGAAGGTTCCAATGTTTTCGAGAGCTTTTCGAAAAAGAGCCTAGCAGAAAAGAAACAATGGTTGGAAAATTTTGTGAAAAAACATATGTGCTTCATTCTCATCACAACCAACATATCTCGCGAAGAATGGAGCATTCAGCTGCAAACAGAGGCTGTTAAAAATGAGCTTGCTTCAAAGACGAACGAAGCATTGAACAACTGCTTCTTAATGGCCAGCGACAGCTGCAATGCCGAAGACAAAACACATAAAGAAAAGTTAGGGGCAATTACCTTAAGCTGGTTAAGGAATTTTTTCAGGGTTTCATTTAAGTTTTTCTCTAATGCTTGTTCAGCTAATTTTTTGTTAATATACACCACTTGTACTTTTGTTTATATACACCACTAAACGCAAACTGAGGTTTTTAATTTCGAAATGCATATTCTTAAGTGCCCTTTTGGACAAAACTGACGTAGAAGCCAAATAAAATCTTTTGGTCAACCTAGAGTGAACGATTTCATTCTCGATTAAGTGAAACACACAAAAAATAAAGACGTGTTTTCAAACTTGCCTGTAGCCTGTATTTGGTCTTGGCCAGTAGAATGCTCATGGAGCTGTATTTGGTCTTGGCCAGTAGAATGCTCATGGAGGAGGCGTAGAAGATGACTGCAACTCTGTCTAAAAATGTTCTGAGAGTCCAATCGGTATTAGTATTCATCAAAATTGAAGGGGAACGAGCGTCAAAAAAACGCAGTCACGGCCTCTTTTTTAAATTTTTTTTTGCACCTCAGAAATTTTATAAACAAAATTGGGTATCTGTAGGGTTTTAGAGGAGCTCGGAAAATCATTTTTCTCGACCTCAGAAAACGACTAGAATAGACTTGAAATCCTGAAAAGAAAACGGAAAATTCCTGCGCGTGCCACTGCTCAATAAAAAAAAAGATATCAGTTACTGTGAACGCTTCTGAGCAATATTGCTTTTCAGCTCTAGTATGTTAAACCGATATTTAAAATTGTTATCTTACTCAAAAATCACTCCAAAAAAACCAATTTTAGCGTTTTTGTTGAAGTAACTTTAACTTTAAGTCGAAAGTAAAAAAGGGTAATTACTTTATTTTTCAAAGAAATTTTTCAAAAACCTAATTTTAAAGTTTGATTCAGAAATTTTTTTGAATTGATGTGGCCATAACTATAAAGGTGTTTGTAGGTGAAACCTTTAGGTGCATATCGGTTTCAACAGTTTTATTTATATGTCAGTTAAAAGAATGCAAAAAAATGATGTTGTTTTAGAACTGATTTTATTTAGTTTTACATAAACTTTTTGTGTTAAGTTGGGTGAACAAATTGATGAAAAACGAAGAAAACTCGCAAGAAGTTTTTCTGGAAAATTCTAAGAAAACATTGCTGAGAGATTTGTTATGTGAGCGAGCCGAGCCCATTTCATCTTTCTCCGATGACGGCAAGGAAATGATGCAAGCTCTTAAATACCTTGGGACTATTTTGGTGTCGGCGCACATGTTTCAGTATCATCGTGGAGCCCTCATTCCCACAGGTAAAACTACTCACGATTGAAATCTTTGCTCTTCAATTAATTGAGAGAGTTTCTAAAGCAAACTACAAAAGAAGCAATTTTAAATTAAAAAAAACTGAAATGACTGTAGAACCAAAGGACTTTAAAACGATACGAATTTACAGTGATATAAATTTTATATGAACATATTATATATACAGTATAAATTACAGCTTATTTTCAAGCCTGATAGAACGCGATCAGACCATATGGACCCGTTTCTAAACGTCTCTGAGCGGAACATTTTGAAAAAATTAAGTACAGATTTAAAAAGATGATATATTATCTATGAGATAAAAAGTACAAACAAAAAGTTTTCAACAACAAATATTGATTTCAGACCGTTGATAAACGTCAATGGCATAAGTTGAAAACTTGAAAGGCAAAAAATTTTGGGCAATTTACTAATTCGATAAAATGCCACCGGCAAAATAAGTGAATGTTAGGTTCGTCATTTTATCAACCGTTAGTTTGGAAAAATTTTTAATCCTATATTTTTTGAAATTTTTTGATCGCTGGTATTTAACTGTCGAGCAGACTTTTCGTTTCTTATCTGGAAAATATTAATGTTCCGAACAAGGAAAATTCCGAGGAATTTTGTAATCGAGTGTTTTAGTTTTTTTCTTTTTTCTTTTTGTTTTTCATGGAAAATCAGGTACAAATGAATAATCATCCGTCTGGGTTAATTCATAACAAAGTCTTTTAAGCCGTGATTCGAAGGATTTTTTAAAAAAATGTTCAGAAAAAAAATGCAAGGTCGGATTCGAATTTTTTCGGTTTTTCTTCTAGTTTCGACAGAATTAAGTGTTGATGACTTTTTTAATTAGTCATTAAAGCTTGTTTAGTCATTAAAGCGAATATAGCTAACTTGTTATTTGATTATTCGTGCTTATAATTTTTTGATAACACCACATACAAAATTTGACATTAATTTGAAGAACTTAATAATTTTTATGAATATGGTCGGGACATTCTGTGCTACTTGCACAGCAACTGGCTATCCTTCTTTGTTATTTGCATCGACATTATCATAGCCCGTAAATCAGTTTAATAAAAAAGGGGGATTTACAGAAGATAAGCTTGAGGGCAAATAATTTGATCTAATTAATCAAATCAATAATCGAAACCAAATTATGAATAAAACTATAGGCTTTTTACAGGATTATTTAGCTTTTCCATGTGAAAAATTTCCTAAGGCAACATTTTCTCCGTACTCGCTAGATCTATGACCTACGGTGTATTTTTTATGTCAATTTTGACTACCTGGAAGAGAGCTCACAGGGTTTCAAGTGAAATGCACTTTTTAAAACGTTTCAGAGCTGATTTTTTGTTTCAGACCAAGGTTCACCGAAGGATAGATGCTTTGATTTTATTTAATGAAATTTCTGCAGGAATTTTTTTGCTTGCCCTCATTTGTGAATTTACTTGCAGGCGTATTATCTGTAAAATATTGCACTCACTAGAGTTTTTTGGAAGTCAGCATAAACCATTTTGAAAAAAACTAAGAAAAAATCTTAAAAAATTTTGATATCTATGATCGAAAAATTATATGTTACTTGCACATCGACTGGCGAGTATTCTTCGTCGTTTAAAATGGTCTGAAATTGAAAAGGTATATTTGAGTAACTATTGCTGCGCACTGCTTAATTTGAATCGAACCGCTTGAAATCTGCAGGGCTAATCCAATGATAGTTTGCTCGTATGCTAGGTAGTGAACGTTCGCTGTTCGTGGTGCGTTTTTGTTGCTGGTGCTTTTGAGTCTGGGATTTTTGCGTGATTCCGTTATTGTTCCGACCATTGAACTTTTTATTTTTCTCAAACAATCAGGCTCCATAAACAATCATCGGAATGCGTCGGGTGATATTTAATACTAAACCATTTTCAATTATAATTCGAACACTGTTGAATTGTCGGGAAAACTAGTCTTAAGTTTGTTAGATTAACAATAATTTCAAGCGGCTATAGCAACCGAGTAACGTTTTGCTTAGAAACAAATCTTAAAGGCTGAGAAAACATGATTTTACTGATAATAAAAATTATAAAAATAAAAATCAGATGAAAAGCAAAAAAAAGCGACGTCCCTTCGAAATTTTGTAAACATATAAAACATTAGCGAAAAGCTAAAGTAGATTATTCAATTCATTTGACGGTTGAATTAGCTTTTTCACCACCCCAATGTCTGCAAGCTGGGCTGGTCAACTCGCACAGCTTAGGAAACGAATGAAAATTTTATATAGAAAACATACATCTTTTTTGCTCTTTGATCTAAATTCATCTTAAATGCTAAAATATACAACCAAATTTTTCTCGAAATCGCCAAATCTTTTTTGATACTTTTATCGGTGAATCGCGATCTAAACGGTTTTAATCAGATACATTAATTGACACTATCAATCGCGTATAACTGCTACCTGGCTTAGCATGAATATGCAACCTCGTTTTGAACAAAAGTATTTTTATATGTACTACCTATACGCTGTACGGCAGTTTTTAACACGGCTATGCTAACAAAACTTGTTGTTCCGACTATTGAAAATGTGTATGAACTTGGTATGTGGGTGTGTTTTAAGTTTTTTTGTTTTCCACGCAAAACCCGGTACCACAATCAATCATCGGAATGCGTCGAGTGATATATAATATTTAAAAATTTTGAGCTATAATTCGAACAAATTTGAAAACTCTTCGAAAAATTTTCAAATTTTTGGGAAAAACTAATTTTAAACTTGTAAGATTTAAAAAAATTTCGAGCGGCTGAAGTAACCATTTAACGTTTTTTTTTAAATCATTTGGGCTGAGAAAACATGATTTAACTGAAAATAAAAATGTTCGGTCCTTTACAGGGTTTAATAGCTTCTCCGTGTAAAGTTTTTTGTGAAACAGTTTTTTCTTTGCGCTTGTTTGATATGAAAATTTTATGTACAACCAAATTTCAAAATAAGAACGTAGCCAGGTGAAATTCCACGCTAGTTCATATAAGAAGGAGTTTTGAGGTTTTACGAACATAAAATTGTTTCTCCGAACAAAATCAGAAAAAGGGATAAGTTTATGATGGATTTTTTCAAGTCAACTGTGACGACCTGGAGATAAACTTACAGAGGTTCAAGTAAATTATAGTTTTTAAAATGTTTCGATGGTGATTTTTATTTTTTTAAAGTAACGATATTAATCTACATGTCAATAAACTGGTCTGACTATTTGGCTACATAGACTAACTTTCAGCAGAAAATGTTTTTTTTTATAAAATATGTTTTTAAAATTAACTTTTCAATTTCATTTGGGAAACTCTTGGCTGCAAACGTATTCTCAGTTAAAAAAAATTACACTGATAAGCCCTTTTTTGAAGCCAGAATAAGAATTTTAAAAGAAAAAACAAAAAAAATGAACGAGTTTTGATACCTGTGATTTGAAAATTAAATAGAACTTACTAAATTAATGGCAAATTTTTTTAGAGCTGAAATTAGTCTGAACTTAACTTTAATTGAGTATTTATTGCTTGGTATTGTTTAACTATTTAACCGAGAAAATTAACTGCTTAATCTAGCAATTTTAATTGAGTATTTATTGATAATAATTACTTAACTTGAAAAGACCTGTATGAAATCTGCTGGTACAATCTAATGTCAGCTAGCTCACAATGACAGTTCACTCTAAAACCCTTTCAACTGTGATGCGAAAAACTTTTTAAAAATTCAAGAAATTGTCCCATCGTCGAAAAAAGCCGTTTCAAATTTATGAGTTTAAGTGTAATTTTAAGTGGGAGAAGCATCAGGTAAGGTTTGTCATCTTAAAATTGTTTATTCAGGCTGCGAAAAATTGAAATTCTTGAAAATAACATAAAATAAAATGAATAAACAAAAACATGGAAAAAAAATTCAAGCTTTAATTAGCACTTGCTTGGAAATTAAAAACTGTTCTTTAAAACATTCAAATTTACTGTGCAACTTAACAGAGTTTTGAAAAAGTTTCGAAACAGAGTTTTGAAAAAGTTTTTAAAACGTTTTCTACAACGCGCAAAAATGGCCCTAACTTGATGAAAAATATTGAAAAAAAAATTTGTTGTTTTTTTGAATCTGGCAGAACTTTCTGATTCTGTGCTAATATCCAAGCAACCAAAATTGGTTAGTTATTGAAATACCTGAATTTAGATGTAATTTTAAAGCTTAACCCTACGCACATTAATATTTCACGACTATCAAATACATGATCTGACAGTCATAAGCCGAAAAGAGGCGGTACATTAACGCCGAAGTATAACAGTGCCCGAAAAAATTGTTGTTCAACAATGCCGCGAAAGATCAATTTTTGGCTCTGCTGAACAATTTTTCATTTAATTGGCACAATTATCCTTTGGCAATGTTAAACTCAACTCTAGGGTAGTACAACAGTGCCTAAGTACAATTTTGTAAGAAAAACATTACGAGGCCAAACTGGTGCACTGGATAGGAGCACAATTTTGTGTCTGTATGTTCCTGGATTCCAGAGACAAATCTTTAAACATGTTTAAATTTTGTCGGAACGATCAAAGAAAATGAAAGAACAAAAGAAGAACAAAGGGAGCGTCGTTGTCGCGGAATCCGCTTACAATGCACAAAATGCACAGTTTGGCCTCGTAATGAAAATGCTATTGAACAGTGCTAAATTCTTCAACTTTCGGCTTTGTTGAACAACTTTTTGTTTATTGGCACTTGTTACCTTGGCACTTTTAAACTCCTCTATAGGAGTAGTACAACAGTGCCGAAGTACAACATTGTGTAAGAATTGAAGATTGCTGAACAATGCCGAAATTCATCAGTAATCGGCTCTGTTGAACAATTTAGTTTATTGGCAACGTTGTACTAGGGCAGTGTTAAAATCCCACCAGCATAACAGTGCATCAGCTTTCATCACTGTTGATCAACATTTTGATTATCGGAACTCTTGTTCTTCAGCACTGTTAAACTCCTCTCTAGGCTAAGAACTGACAGTTTGGAAACACAGCATTGTGAAAAAAAATCGTTGAACAGTGCCAAAATTTGTCGAACTTGGAACTGTGTAACAACTTTTTTATTTGCACTGTTGCGTTTCGGCACTGTTATACTCCCTTCTAGGTAGTAAAACCAGTGACGAAGTACAACATTGTGAAAAATAAAATGTTGTTAAACAGAGCCGAAATTTTTCAATTTTTGTCTCTGTTGAACAATTTTGTTTATCAGCTTCGCAACTCTTGAACACCCCCAGGGAAAGTCTTAGTATTTGACCACTAAACTGGCCGCCTATGTGTAGAGTTAGTGTTTTCATCTAAGTCCTTGTCAAATCAAATCAAATAAATATGTCCACCCCATCGTAATTATCGGTAGTTGATTTTTTATCATAGTGCTTCCCAGTTTGTCTTCCCAGCAGAGGAAAATTGCAGATTGTGTTCGCAACTCGATCAACGGGAGGCGGGCCTGTCGCCAGATCCTGATGGGAGAGGGTGGGACTGGAAAGACACACTGCTGCATAGAGATCAGTCGCATGTGTCTGCATGAGTTAAAATTCAACAGGGTCATCTACGCTGTGCCCGATCAGAAGGCGGTACTGCAGCAACACGTGCAACACATCATGCTGGACAGTTTGGACTACGAAAATGGTTGTTAATTTTCTTCTCTCAATTAAAACGCGTGTTCAGAACTAAAAAAAAAAGAACAATTTGTTCAGTTCGATTTTGTATTCAACTATGTTTTGACCATACATTATGCACAATTTTGTGTTCGACGATGATTTGAAATAGTGTTCGCAGCTTTCGACTTCAGTTTTTGGTTCAAACAATATGCGTGTGTTGGACCGAATTCGATCGAAGCATAATTCAAACACCTCAACCCGAGAACTAACAATAAAAAGAATGTACACAACTGCCAAGTTTCTAAAGCATGAGAAACATTTTCACAAAAAGTTGTTTTTAGGCAGAATTTAATAGAAAACAAAATTAAAAACAATTTATTTAAAAGAAAAAAATTTGCACAAATCTAACCGCCTGATGGAAGAAAATGCTCATCAGCATTCGAAAAAATGATATTCTTTCTGCCATCTTGTCTACTATGAAATTGTTTGGCATTTTTTTGTTGTATGGATTTACAAGATTATAAGAACTTTTCCTTAAACGATGTTTTGCTTCCTAGTTTAAATTCTTTTCAATTTTGAATTTTTTGGAAACACTGAAACCGTAAATAGTAACTGCTGATTGGTCAGAACGAAACTTTGGTTCTCATTGCCAAATTGCATTCAGAGATTTTGTCATTTAAACACAAACAAGCGCAGAAACAGAAATTTGAAAAAATCACTTATTTTCTTAAAATTAGCACAAAAAAACTTTGATGAGAAATTGTTTTGCTGATTGAGAAAATAGTGTGAATTCAAGTAGCCCCAGTGTTTGCTTCTGATCGAAACATAAATCAAACAAGACTGCTCGTATATCAGGACAAAGCCCTGAATATTCCGACTGTCCCATAATTCATATCGAATAGTTTTTAAGAAAAGAAAATATTGAAAACCTTTAAATTTTAGACAATATCAAAGTGTAAAATTTTGAATTGAACGAAAATACTACGACCAATTAGCTAGCCTCAATTCAAGCTTTTGTTGTGCGGGATATTGAGGCTAGCTAATTTGGAAAGATTTTGTTGTGCGGGATAATTTGCCACACATCAATAATTCGAGTTACGCTCTCAGAATTATGAATATACTATAAAAAGCATAATTTAATCCAAAACATGGCCAATTTCGCAATTTTCAAACCCCTAAATCTTTACAAAAATTAATTGGAGGTAAAATATCTTTTTAAATTTGAATTCAGGAAGTCGATATCTTCTATAGAAATTGTCTAGAAAATTTTTGTTAAAAACTTTTATTTCGATCGGCCAAAATTGACTGAAAAAATAACACAAACAAAAAGACTGCCGGTATCAGGGCAAAACCCTGAAGGTTTCGATTGATATTTAAGGTCTATGAAGCAGTGTTCGGTTTAAAAAATGATGCATTTTTGAAAAAAAAAATTGAGTTTCCTTTTTAAATCACCCCCCTCACGCCATATAAAGTACAAATTGATAGACTTTGCTCCTAGTAACGTATAGGTTATGACAAATAGCTTGTTTCAACCCTTTTGGAACAATTTCTGTGAGGGATTAAATCTCCACTTACGCGTTAATAGCGCGAAGTATACCGCGCGTTAATTGTCCCAAATTGGCCATATTGGCAATCTTTAAACCCTCAAAACTTTTTGAAAAATAATGACAGATAAAATATATTTTCAAATTTGAGCTCAGGACAACAACACTTGCTTTAGTGCGATCCAGTGCTTTCTAAAGAGTATCAGTTTGTGCAATCGAATTTTTTGCTTGGAAAAATTTAATGAGTACATAATCGACTTTGCGACAAACAAATCTAAAAGTTTGTATTACTGTGAATTCAAAAAAAAAATTTAAGACCATTTATCCAAGGGAAAGGACCAACATTTGAGCTGTCCAGCTCCTCACGGCGAGCCGCTGTTGTGCCCCTGTATAAGAAATACGCGCATTTTTTTGTTATTTTTGGGCTGGTTAAAGTTGCAATGAGCACGGATCATGGTAGGCCTCGAAAATCCGACCTTTCGATTGAGAGGCGGAGACGTAACCACTTCACCACCGGTCTCCTCTATTTATGAAATTCATGTATAAAATTGCGGACCGACATTTTACCAGACCGAACCTTTGCCAGAAATGATCGAATCTAATATTAAATTATCTTAATTATATTATTGTATTGTGGTATGGTAAAAGGTGGGTCTGGTAAAATGTTGATCTTGTAAAAGACCAGGCCCCTTTGAAATTATATCTCTTGAACTATTTCCTCCCTTTTGCAAGACTGGGGTTTTCATTATTAGGTGCAGAATTAGCCGTTGCATTAGTTCTATAGAGGTGGCTATCGTTACTACCATAGGGTACCAAAAAGGGAATTGTATAAGAGATGTGATTTTTCTTGGTGTGATTTTTTCACACAAACTAAAAACAAAACTATCAAATTTAGCCCGCTTTTTGCATAACGACTAAAATTACGTTTTATTATCTGCGACCATAAAGTTAGGCTCATTATGATGTTTAAAAATTTACAGACATTCAATGGCAAGGAAGAATTAAAATTTGTGTAGGCGCCGAATTTGTCTCTTGCAAGCTGAATTCGGTGGAAGATTACTTCCCCCGACACAGACCAATCAACAGTCTCTATGCTCTCATTGTAGACGAGTGTGTAGTCTCCAGCAGAGACGAATTGCAGAAAGGCATGCGTGATATTAATCAAACTTCAGGCTCCGAAACTCGGTCTAGGCAAACAATATTTTTCTATAAACTCTTGTTTTTTTTTACACATGAGGCAGTAACGAATCAAAAGTGTGTTAACCGGTTTTCATCTCATTTGCATTAATATTCCGACGTTCAAAGTAAAATGATAGAATATTTGTACTCGGTGTGGTTTCTTTCTTCAAACTAAATTCAACTAGCTATTTTGACAGGATTTTTTTGGACAGTCTCAAAGGTATTGATGCTGAAGGCTCGAAATTAATTAGATATTTTATCTGTGATTGTTTCTTGCAAAGTTATGGCGATTTCAAAATCTATTAAGGCGTATGCGGCTATTTAGTTTTGCTAAGATATCGTTCCAAATTGAAATGAGGTGAGTTAGTAGGATGTATTAATAAGTTGCTAGACGAGCGTGTGATAGAATACTTTCGACAAAATCTGAACAAAAAACCAACTTTTTCCATTTTTTTCTAATTTTAGTCAATTTTTAAACTTTCAAAAAGAAGAAATGTTGCTTGCACCATAACGGGCAGTCGGAACGTTCAGGGCTTCCCTTTGGCAATATTATTTTTTGTGCGGTACCATTGAGGGCATTAAGGGAGAATTTACGCCAAAACCCAGACATATTTTTGATAACTCCTCGCAAGATCCCGAGATGGCCATTTTGTTATAACTTTAATGTCAACAACTGTCTATCCGAAAGAAACTCCTTAACGAGGCAACTAATTGATTTTCAGTAGTTTTTTACCAATTTTGATGAGCTTGAAGTTTGATTGGTGTACTTGAAGTTCTTAAACCTGTGTACGGAATGCTGCCTCTATTCGATGTGGTCATAATATGCATGTCCATTCTGGGTCAGCTGGAGTGCAGCACTGTCTACTTTGACCACAACACACTAGAAGGCTTTCACAGAAGAGTTGTGACAGTTGGTTGGAGAAGCACGCACAAGATAGCCATTTTCAACAGCTACTACCTCCACACAGCCACAAGGTACAAACTAGTATCTGTATAGAGTTGTTGCAAAATTAAACAAAAATAGACCAACATTTTTGCAGACAAACTCCAACGATAGAGAGAACTGTGGAAGAGAAGTTTATGAAGAAAAATTGGGTGGCCTTTCCCGGTACCCAAAACTTCTAATCATACAATTTCCATTAATGAAAAACTTCTTTCGTCATACAATTCCATAAACTTCCATACGAACAGATAGTTATATGAAATCATTATGATAAACATTTTCGCACACATGAAGATTGTATAACTTGCCTTTTTTCCACACTCGAAAACATTTTTGAATTTTGTCTTATAATATTGTGTTTTGTGTTAAGACGATGTAACACTTTCTACTATAATCAGACGCAATGGTTAAGTGGAAATAATCTCACAGATAAACTGAATTGCCAGCAAGTAGACGTAAAAGTCTCACAAACAGTTATGAAAAGAAGTAACTATTTGTATGCGGGTTTAAAAACTTCAACTAGAATTTACTGAATGCAAACTCTGACCAATTTTTGATGCATCTAAATTTGTTTTACGATATAATACAATAGAATAAAACTCTAACATAATAAAAAAATTATATTCAGTTTTGCTTAATTTGTATGAAAAATTCAGTCTGAACTACGTTATAGGCAAAAACGCGCAAACTTTGCTACCATTTTTTAAAGAAATTGTTTATTTGAGCGTAGAAGTCATTTTTGCGACAAAAAAGAAAAAATCTTCCGCAAATTTTGAAATTTTTAAGGGTAAAAATTTAGGCTAAGAAGAATTATTCTTATTCTAATTTTGTTTTTTGGTTATGATGTTATGGAATTGTATGATAATCAGCTCCTTTGTAAGATATTGCATGACCATCAGTTTTCGCCTGTGAAAGTCAACCTGGTTCTGCTCTATGAATTCTCAAATCACGGAAACGCTACACGCTTTTCATTGCGCCCTCACAAACCTTATCACAAAAAAACACAATAATAGCGTAATTTATATAAAATTGTAAGACAGCGTGGCAAACGCATGCAAAGATGTGAAATGACAAACCGTAGACCCCACATAAGTTATAATAGAAAACTTAAGTAGTTGGAACATAAGCGCACAACTAGCAAACGAACACTCCAAGAAAAATAGGACTGCTTGTACTTTAGGACGAAGCCCTAAACAACTTGATTGAATTTTCGGGACAATAAAAAAAACTTTTGCTTGAAAAACTGACAAAATAAATAAAACAAGAAAAATAATTTCTTTCTAATCATTTTTTTTTTCATTTGTCCTCCACATGTTATACAAAGTATGCATACTGATGTATTTAGCTACTCGTATCTCAATAATGAGACGATTTATCTTGCTGCGCAAATTTAATTTGAATGTATGATTCCGCCGCTTACGGGTGTTTGCATAACGCAATATATTGCTCGCTGATTAACCCCAAATTGGCCATATTAGCATTTTTCAAACCCCCATTTCTTTGCAAAAAAAACAATCACAGTTGATTTTTTGTACATTTAAGCTGATACAACAAAACCTTTCAGATGATAAAAAAAATTTCTGCAAAACCGAAATCTGACTGAACGAAACTGACTGAATTCATCTTCGAAAATCAAAACAATATCTTCAGAAAAAATTGAACTAATTGATGTGCTAATTACAAAAATAAAATAATAATCCATTTATCATTTTGAAAACAAGATTAACATACTAATGTATAAAAAAAAACATTTTACTAATTTAAATAAAACACTTATTTGACCTGATGTACTAAAAATATTGAGGTACCAAGCGGCAAAAAATGTAATTCAAAATTTTGTAATGAAAAATCTTATTTGGCCAAAGTTTGCTATATACGAATTATCAAAATACTTGAAAATTTCAAAATGGGGATGACGGAAAACAAAAATTTAATTAAAACTTTTGACTGGTAATTAGATGCTCTCGTTTCAGAATCGTTAATAAAATTTCAGAATCGTTAATAAAAAAGACGAAAGTTTTTTGTTGGTTTCCAAATTTTCAGAGCTCAATATTTTAGAACGCAAATATTTTAAAAATAAAAGCGTTCTTGACATTTACTTGTTCATTTTAGTGATACAAAAATATGACTTTTTACAAAAAACCAGCTAATCATACACAAAAAAAATTTTGTGTTAACTACACGGTGTCAAACATAGGGTACTCACTTTCTTACAAAACTTGAAAAACTTAACGTTATTTGAAAAAACTTATCTGAATCACCTTATAAAATTAGCAAAAACATTTAAATAAGCAGAATAACCTTTCAAATCAGCATGAAAATTAACTAGAAATGTCTCATGAACTTGAATCAGAAATTGATTCTAAACAAGATCAAATATATCAAATCAAAGCCTTGAACTTTGTGACTTCACCCAAAAACAGTCATTATTTTTTCCATTTACTTGGAAAACAATCCCGCACTGGCTATGTACAGTACGTCCAGCACGGTATTAATCGTCCCAAATAGCTTGCCTCAAATCAAACAAGAACTATTTCTAAGCCAGACTAACTTACCGCTCGAGCTTTATTATAAAGAATATATCGCTCGACAATTGTCCCAAGTCAGCCAAATTGACAATTTTCAAACCAAAGTAGCTACACGAAAAAAAATCTGAGGTTTAAATTTCAAAATAATTGATACCAAACTCAAGTCAAAAGTTCTTTGAAACTTTGGGTTATTTTTAGAATTTTTTATTTGCCTGATGAAAATGAAGCCGGAAGGTTATTTAAAAATAAAGGGCTCGGAAAAACAACAATAGTTTTCCCAAAAATGAAAGTTATATACGCAATTTTAAAATTTTGGCTTCAATTTTAGATCTAGTTCACTGCTTGAAAATTTTCATAGCCAATGCCAAATTTTTGGCCGCATCTATCTCAATTATGGAAACTAATACTAATTGAAGCTAATTAACATAAATTTTTGCACTTTCACCTCGGAAACTATTTCTCTGGTGCTAGGTTTTCGTGCAATTAGGTAACATATAAGACAAAACATGGCTGATTTGAGTTATCCGGGCAAAACGAGCCAACCCGAAACGAAGTTTTCTCAATTTTAATCAAAAAGAGACAAAAATGGTGACGGGGAAAGTTTGTTAGAATTTAAAAATGTTTTCATTAAAAATAGTATTTTAGGTGAAAAAAACTTTGTGGCTATCTAAAAAACTCCATTCATGCAATATGAAAATATTTATTTTCCTCCGCAATTGACTCGATGGTTTCAGCGTTATTTTTGACTGACTAAAATTAAAAATTGACTTTTGTTTTATAAAATTTCAGGCCCGAAGCTCACGCACACAATAAATTTTGTGTTGTATTTTTTTTAGTGTTTTTTTGCTAAAACCAGCCCAAATTGAAGAACGTGTTTACATTTTTCCTGTTTTTTATTTTTTGCCGGATAGTTCAAATACGCAACAAAAAAAATTTGCGAAATTCTGAAAACAGTGTTTTTTGACGACATTGTTTTATTTGTTATGTCAATCTAAATTAACAAATAATTTTTGTTTAATCCAGTTTACTTTAATCAGCTCAATTGTTTTCGGGTATTTGGTTGTCGGCGATATTGCCAACAGTTTGGTATTAACTATAAAACTAATTATGACTTCAAATCACTGTCAAGCTTAAGCAATTTGAATGACATTTAGCATCATGGTTTTAAGAAAAATTTAAGAAATTGCGTCAGTGTGGGAAAAAACGGTTCTAAATTTTTTGAGTTTTGGTCTAACTTCGAGCGAATAAAGAGAGCAAGCAGAGCAGGCTTAAAATAGGCATTTTTATAAAAGAAGGATACGCCTACATAAAAGAATAAATTTTATTTCAAACCCCGAAAATGTATTTTTACTCCAGTAAAATAAGTTTTCGAAATTTGTATAGTGCCATTTTGGTAATAAAAAAACTGCAACAAATATAGATTAAAATTTTAAAAATATTTTTTGAACGTTTTTATGATTTTTTTTTGTTTTTCTTGTCATTTTCTGACAAACGCTGTTCAAAAATTTTGCTTGTTTAACTAAGACGGTCGAATATGCTTAAATTTTAGGTCTTTCAGATCCTTTCATCACACCACTCACAAAAATTACACTAATTTGAAAAAAAAATCCGTATTTAGTTCAAGAATAGTGGTCGGAATATTCTGTGCTACTTGAGCAGCAAACGTCTATCATTGTTTATTTTGTTTCTTCTACCTGATTTATATTATGGTTACTTAACTATAGAATATGTTTAAACTCCGGGTTGTTGGACGTTTCTCCAGGAAACACACATGTGGAACCAGCTGCAGTGTCATTTCACCAGACTACAAATCCGATGAAGATGTCAAACTCTACTTTTGCTCAGACGGCTCAAGAGAAACTTCCCAGAAAAGCATCAAGGAGCAAGTGACCGAATGGCGGAAAAAGTACCAAACTGCCGCGGATTGTGCTATCATCGCTTTCAAGCATGAATCTTTCTCCTATAAATTCAATGAAGATCAACTTAAATGTGAAAAACGGCAGGAAGAGTTGGCATTCCTGAGCAGATTTGATGAAAGCTTAGTCGACCTAAAGTTCACTGGGTTTGAAAAGCCGCACGTACTGGTGATTCTTCTCACAGATGAAAACATAAAACAATTTTCAATATCAGAAGCGACATCATTACTTGCCGCAACAACGAGAGCACAACAGTCGTTGTCAATCATCGTGATGTCGAATGAGTTGAAAAAATATTTGGAAGGTGTATCTCAAAAGTCAAAATTTGAGCATCTTTTGCTATCTCCATTTGACAGTCGTGGTGGAAATAGAGTAACCGAAGCAGTCAGCGATGAAAACATTGCCGATCGAATTGCCATATTAGTACAACAAGAAGACGTCGAATCCATAAAGAAGTTATTGAGCGAGATTCATAAAAAGGAACAGCCTGATATGTTCAAGACCGCAATCAGCAAAACATTCCGGCAAGTGATGGGAAAGAGGAAAGACGCCAACAATAAGTTCCACCACATATTCGACGAAACAATGGGATGGGATGTTGAAAAGTACTTCACAGTTGAAGATGTGATCGACTGGCTCGAAACTGGCTACGAGAGAGGATACACTAACAACATAGACCAATTTGAACACTTTCTGAAGAGGTTCTTCAAACTTAACCCAGTTCCTCCTGATGTCATTAAATCTAGATTTCTGGACAATCAGCAAAATATTCTGTACGAGGCATGTTTCTGCGGATCGGGATCCGGAATCGAACATGCAAGCAAAACTCTGCAAACTCTGATTGGAGTCTCGAATTTGGAGTTGGTTGAATTGGTTGTGAAGAGAAATTACATAATAGAAGGAGGCGAGAGGAAGGAATCGCTGCTGTCATTGGTGACGAAAACGAACAAAGATTTCAAGGCTATCGACCATCTGTTAGATATCTGCCTAGGTCTAAAAAGTGATCGCTGGTGCGATATAGAACAAAGCATCACAGAAGCATTTCGGTGGCCAATCAAGTTTAGAAGTTTCAGGTTCATCAAATGCATGTTGGACCGAGACGAAGAAAAGTATGCACTGTTTACAAATGCACAAATGCAAAAAATATTTACAAATGCTCTGAATGAGTTCGGAATAGCAATAAAAGAGGTAAGAAAGCTAACACATGGAGGCAATGAGGGGAGCGAGTATTTGACAAAATGGCTAGATGATAACCTTCTCAAACAGTTCCAAGAAAAAGAAGAAAACGAAAAAGGGTAGTCGGATTGAAAGTAAAAAACGACGTGAATTTAATGACCAATGATCAATAACTTAAGTAAGACAGAGTAAAAAGTGGCCAAAATTAGAGACAAGATTAAAAACTAATCATTAAAAGGAGAAATTGAATTGGATATTTTCCAGGATTTCCAAAAGATATCTTGCTTTGTCTGGGTAATTAATTTTTTGTAGGATCTTTAAGTTTTTTTGGACAATGGAAAAATCTTTGAAATTTTTTTGCACTTAGTCAAGTCATGTAGAAAATTAGTTTGAAACCACAATTGAACGCATACGACGTTTTTTGGGCGATGAACTTCTGATAGCAAAACACACTCTAGTCCAAATTTTGTACTCAGTCGTCAATTGGTGGTCGCAGCAATTACTGATAATAACATCAATCGCAGTTTTTTTCGTTGAAATTATATTTCAAAACCTTTTTTTTGCCACAGTATCTAGCACATGGTAATTTGGGGCTGAAATATCAATTCAACGGGTAAAAGTAGTCTTGAAGCGCATTTAATTAACTAAGGCATTAGACATTTATACAAGGGGTATTTCCGACCACCCCAGTAACGACTGTGGAAGACATATGGCCTAAGCTGAGCTTTCAACGCAATTTCGAACGCATAAAAATGTTAATAAGAGATCGGTTGTGCTATCAAGCCCGTCCAGTTTTAATTCAGTTTCCCAAAAAATACGAATGATCTGCGAACTAATTTGAAATTAAAAATTCTGTCCTATACAAAACTTTTTGTAACAAAAATTACACTTATTTTGAATGTAGCTTGTATTTTAAATAGTAAATATCGAGAAATATTGTAAAATTAGTTTTATGTGAACTTCTAAAATTATTAACTCAAACAACTTTTTTAGCTGCGCTTGCTATATCTGACAGATATTAAAACACTGACATCATGTGTTAAGGTTGTGACACGATCGAGGTGCTCAAATTTCTTAAATGTTTTTCATAAGAACAAGTTTTGATTGTTCTGTGGTTGGATAATTGTGCTGATTTTACAGCAAACTGCTCGTCTCATTACTAACTGTCTCTACAAAAAACTCAAATTCAAAATTCAAATTGAACTAATAAAAATATATCAACCGGCAAAGTTTCATTAGTTTAATTTATTTTAAAAATCTTTGGGACTTCGGTTTTTTTTTTGCTTTTTGTTCAAAGTCAATCAATATCAATTTTTGAGTTTTTTTAAAAAACAATTTTTTGGATGAAACCTTGATTCAAGTTTTGCTTAACCAAGTGCGTATCTAGAATTTTTCGGGAAGGTAAAAATTAATTAAACTTTTCAGGAGCTCTGTCAAAAAACTTTAAGACATGCGTGAGTTATTGGGAAAACATGCAGACTAACAAAGACGTTTTTAGGCATTTTCATGATGGTTTTGACAAAAAAGTGTGTTTTATTGGCGCGCGCTACCCCTTCAAAAAATTGAGTTCAGTCCTGATTTTTTAAAATAACTTTGGAGTTTTTTCATTGTTTTGAGGGTTTTTGGTGCTTAAACTTCAAAAAACTTTTTACTAAATCCATGCAACCCCTAAAAGTCTTTTGCGGGATTTCGGATTTTAAACTTGAAAAAAACAACTCTTGTTTTATGGCAACTATTCGTTTTTGTACGTCTGAGAAACGCAGTTCCACTTTGTCTAAATTCTCCATTCTTAAAGTTTTTTCATTTTAATTTGTCTGTTTTATCTTGTCTTAATTGACAGAACCATCTCAATCAAGTTTCTTACAGAGTTAGCAATCATATTCAAAACTGCTCAATGGTTCTGCCAAGGGCGGATTCAGGGGGATATCCATATTTGGCGACGGACCCTAAAATATTTCTAAAGGCGCCTTCGGCGCCAATATATACTTACTTTAAGGGGGCGCCAAAAAACGCAACTTTTTTGGTCAAAATTTTCTAAAAACTGCCTAAAACGCATTTTTTTTATCTGTTTTTCAAAATTTTGCCTGTGGCGCAGAAAATTTGACCAAAACAGGGTCTTTTTAGTGCTTTGGGAGAAGCCCCTGGGTTCTGCTATGGTGTGCAGTTGTTACAAGAGATTTTGTTTTCAAAATAGTTTGTATATTAAAATGTAAAAATCAAAAAATTGTGTATAACTTTTTCCTGACACCTTTTGAATTGAATAATTCAAACACGTAGTTACTTGGGCTGGCTAGTTCTGACATACAATAATACGGGTCGAGCTGCTCTACATAATACGGGTCGAGTTGAGGCAGTAACACGATGAGTCGGGGGTGGGGGTGGGCACTTCTTTTTCTTTCTCTTCGCACACACACACACGCACACAATCTCTCTTCAGGGAGGATTTGAACCCCTAAACACCCAAACGTGTTGTAATTAACCTTTCTTAATTAATTAATCAATCCTATTTTTAAATTATTTTAACCGGTCATTCTTATTGCACCTTGAAACGACACCTCTCTCTGACGGAGAGAACGCTGTCTCACATTTTAAGGCTTAAATTTTGAAAGGCTTCAATTTAAGGCTTAAATTAAATCATTTTTTACTTTTTATTCTTTTTATTGTGAATAACTAAAGTTCGCTGTAACAAAGGAACAATTTATCATGGCGCAGTCAAACATTATTGTTCCAAGTGTGAGAACAATACATCATTTTGGCAAAACCATTCGTAGATCTACCCATCCACCCATTTATAAACCAAATAAAAAAGTTTAAAAAATCTAGTAAGCCTGATACCTTCCAAACCTTCCTTCTTAGAAAATCCGACGGAAGGCAAAACCGCAATTCAGCAAATCGCGAATGATAAACATTAGAGAGCAGAAAAAGATGAACCATGAAAATTTAGCATTGATGAAGACCGAGACAAAACTTTTTTATTGCAATGCGATTTGACACAGCGGACAACAAATTGCGATCGATGTTAAGCCTCGCATTAGAAAAAGAGTGTAAACAAAATTTCGGACAAAATTCAGGAGAATAAAAATCCTTCGGATTCCATTGAAAGAGTTTGAGATCCATTGGCAACAGATTTTGTGAAACAATTCAAAATAACAATCGAGAGCCATACACTGCTTATCGATAGTAAACGTGAAAAAGAATTGTAAGAGTAGTTTTGGGAATCGTTAGCTAAAAGAGCGAAAAAAAGGGAAATTTTCGTCGGAGAAGATGAGTGGAAAGAAAAATTTTCATATGTAATGTGAAAAACTTCCATACCCAGCAAAAACTCCTGGCCGAAACTCTACCTCCGTTTGTCGCATTAATCGCCGCACTCATAGATGAAAAACGAATTACAAACTACATCAAGATGACAAACAGTTTTAAGTCCAATGGCTTTTCTGTACAAAATTTTTTCATCTATTTCTTGTCAAAAGAGAAACAAGGTAACATTGAACATAAGATCAAATTTGTTAAACGTGGCTGTACTTTTTCGTTAAGCGTGGCTGGGTCAACTAGCAGTACGCCCACCAAGAAAATCAATTTATAATCTGTCAAAACAAAGATCACTTACCAGTTTTTGTACACCTCGTTGTAAAAATGAAATCGTTTTGGATACTCAATTTGTAGATCATGCAGAAAGTGTTTATCCTTTGGATCAACTGGACGTAAAACGAAACTGAGTAAACACAGAATAATGTAGTGTTATCAATGCTTGGTCAATATCCGAACAGAGCAATAACGACGATGATTCTGTTTTGAATATCACTACAATCTGCAATAATGACAGGAAAACAATGAGGAAAGTGTTGTTATTTGGGCTCGGAAAAAAAGGCGACTTTAAACATTCAAGTAGACTCAGCAAGCCCAGTTACTTTTCTCCAGAAAAACGTCCTTCACGAAATAAATTACCAGATCCATATCTAAAAGTCTATTTAGTGGAACAATCAATCAAGGTTTTTTTATGCAAACTCCTAGACAGCGTAATTAGCACAACAGGGACACTAGTCGTCCCAATTTTCTCAACTGGTTAGTTTCACGGTGACTGCCTCTTTTTCTTAAGTGAGTACCACATAAATTATATGCTGGTCACGATAATCTACCCAATAGTGGCATTGAAGTCTCTCTGAAACACCAAAAATCCGGTAAAAACATAAACACTGCTTCTTTTGGCAAAAAAGCAGAATTTTTAAACCAGATTTTCCAACATTAGTCAAATAATCCAACAGATTGGAAAGATTACAATGGCGTAAGAGTTATTCATTTCCACGAACTAATGAAACCAGTACAGTTAACAGGTTGTTGTGTTCGTCGTTGTGTTGTTGATTTCAGTATAAACATAACTAAACCAAATTAAATTACAAGTTTGTATCCAAAAATTATATAACTGTGAGGAGGACATTAGCCCAGTCGTCAATGTAAGCCTTCTAAAAAACACTATTCCAAAAATTGTCATTAAACTCAAAAGCCATTATTAAACAATTAAACAGGAACAAATAAAAAGCCCCAATATACAGGAAATAGTCGATGATTTCGCTTCCCAAATTTCGATAGATTCCGAAGGAGAAGTTCACTTAAGTTTTTTAATTTGAAAAATGTTTTATCAACTTCCAATTATTTTTAATAGAAATCAAATCAACTTTAAAATAAAAAGCGACAATAATACAAATTACAAGGAAAACGTAAAAGTTAAAAGCCTATAAAACCTGATACCTCCACAACCTTCCTTTTTACAAAATCCGAAGGAAGATGAAACCAAAATTCAGCAAACGGCGAAAGAAAAAAATATAAACAAAGGTTCAGACAAAACTCAGGAAAATAAAAGTCCTTTGGATTCCATTCAAAGAGTTTGGGATCAATTAGCCAGAGAGTTCAAGGAAAAAAGCCAAAATAACAAATAGACATACCTCACTCATCCGTAAACAACGCAAAAAAAATTGTTAGAGCAGTTTTGGGAATTGTTAGCTAAAAGAGCAAAAAAAGCGAAATTTCCGCATGAGAAGATAAGTGGATAACAAAATGTTCACAATTCATATGAAAGTTTTCCATACTCGGCAAAAACTCCTGACCAAACTTCTACCCCCGTTTGAAGAACATTATTCTAATGGCTCTTCTGTACATCAAGTTTTCAAAAATCATTTCTTTGTCAAAAAAGATAGAACGTAACTTTAAACATAGAAAAATTGTTAAACGTGGCGGTTTTTTTTTCATAGGGTCAATTAGCAGTACGCCCAGCAAGAAATTCAATTTGTACATCTGTTAATGATCAGTTACCAATTTGTGTAAATCTCGATGTAAAAATAAAAACATTTTGAATACTAATTTTGTAGAGCCTGCAGAAAATCGTTGTACTTCAGATCAACTGGATGTTGAAAGAAACTGATTCAACAGAGAAGGTCGTGGTGTCATCAAGGTTTGGTCAAAATCCGGAGAGAGCAATAAAGATGATGATTTTGTATTAAAACACGCTACAATCTGCAATAATGACGGGAAAGTAATAAGAGAAGTAGTTGTTGTTTGGACTTGGAAAAAAAAACAGTTGCTTTTGAACATTCAAGTAAACTCAGCAAGCGCAGTTAGCTTTTTTTGCGAAAAAACGTTCTTAACGAATTGAAACTACGAGATCCATATCTAAAAATCAATCTAGTGGAACAATCATTCAAGGATTTTAAGCGAATTTACAGACAACGTATTTAACGCCACAGATAAACAAGCAGTGCCAACTTTCTGGTTTCACGATGACTGCCATTTGTTCTTAACGATGACTCCCACATGGTTTCGTTTCACGAGATGACTACCAATTTTTCCTATTGTTTGCCGCATAAACAATATCCTTGCTCATGATAATGTAACCAGAGGGGGCATTGAAATCGCTCTGCAGCACTCTCCTATTTTCACGACAAAAAATTCGCTAATCACAAGAACATTGGTTCAAGATCGAGTCAAAACCTTTTTATTGCAATGCAATTTGACACAACGGACATCAAATTGCGATCGATGTTAAGCCTCGCATTAGAAAAAGAGTGTTAACAAAAATCTGACAAAATTCAGAAGAATAAAAAATCCTTCGGATTCCATTCAAAGAGTTTGAGATCGATTGGCAACAGATTTTGTGAAAAAAGTCGAAGTAACCATTGAG